CAGAGATCTCGGCCCTGCACCTGTTGCAATGAGGAGGATTGGGTTCACGGGCTCGTTAGCAGGCGTGGAAGTGAGGGGGGCGGGGAGGAAGGTAATTAGCCAGAGCCAGGTAAAAGAAGGAGTTTGCTTGTTGTTTGCAGGGTGGTGGTTGGCTCTTAGGGGAGGACCTGAGTGAGGAGGGAAGGGGGAGCTGGGCTTGGCCGCATCCAGCCTGGCTCTGGCACCTACCCCTCTACGAGGGAAACGTGAAAACAGAGGTTGGAGCTTCGGGAAAATGCAGCGAGGTCCCTGAACCGGGAGACGCGGGGAGGGCTGGTTGCACCGAGCCACCAGCAAACGGGCAGTGGGGCTGCTTCAGTGGGAGAGGATCTCTGTGTTCACTTGCACGTGTGAAGTGGGGGAGACTCACCCCTGTTTCCTCTGTGCCCTGTACCTGCACAACCCACAGGCCTTGCCAGCCCGGGTCGCCTTCCCTCTGGTCCAGAGGCAGTGCTCCCCTGAGCCCCCCACCCCTGCCCAGGCACACTGGGCTAACTCCCACCTCCTGTCCCATCTGCAGGGGGGTGGCTTGTAGGATGCTGCCCCAGCACCTGGTCTGGGGCTGCCTTCCGGGCAGCGGCGTCCATGCAGTGGGCAGAAGGGGCAGCAGGGGACAGGGCATCTAGGAGCGTTGGTGGCCACCCCATCTGGATCCCTGGCCGGGCCTTTGGAGCAGCCAGAGTGGGGGGGCGCTGCCTGCGGACAATCCCCCCGGCCTTGGGGCAGGTGCAGCTCTGCTGGAACTGAGCATCAGGACGGGCTAGTGGGATCCCCAGCAGATGCCATCAGTGACTGGACGTGGCACCCGCTATCCTCTCTGTAGCAACTGCATGCCTGCAAGAGCTCCCAGCAACCGTGGATAAGACCTAAATTGGAAGGCAGGGCCGATAAGCACCTTTTTAGACTAGCCCAAAATGAGGGAGAGAGGGAGAGATCACAGGCTTTCATGAAAACAAGTTCACTTCAGATGCTGTGAAAGGATGGCGCGGAGCAGAGCATCGAGTGGAGCGCGTGCTTGGGTAGCTGGGAAGGCACGGGGAGGGGGCAGACAAGCAAAGAAGCCCCCGGAGCAAAGGGGTCACAAAAGCTAATCCAGGTAAAGGAGTAAGAACCGCAGTCCCTGTTTAAACCATGCGTGCTGAATCATAAAAATGAGGTTGAAGGGAGCTCAGGAGGTCACATCTAGTCCAACCCCTGCTCCAAGCAGCACCAGCCCTAACTATATCATCCCAGCCAGGGCTTTGTCTACCTGGGTCTTAGACACCTCCAAGGATGGAGAGTCCACCACCTCTCTGGGTAACCTGTCCCAGTGTTTCACCACCGTCCTTGGGACAGAGTTTGTCCTAATATCCAACCTCAACTTCCCTTGCTGCAGCTTGAGCCCATTGCTGCTTGTTCTGCCATCTCTGACAACAGCCCAGCTCCAGCCTCTGTGCAGCCCCCCTGCAGGGAGGTGAAGGCTGCTATTCAATCCCCCTCCATCTTCTCTTCTCCAGACTACATCAGCCCAGGTCCCTCAGCCTCTCCTCACCAGTCCTCTCCCCCATCCCCACAACCATTTTCATTCCCCTCCACTGGAGTCTCCAATGTGTCCACAGCCTTTCTGTAGTGGGGCCCACAGCTGGACACAGGACTCCAGATGTGGCCTCCCCAGTGCTGAATAGAGGGGAAGGATCACTGCCCTCCATCTGCCGGCAACGCTCCTACCAGTGCAGCCCAGGATGCCGGTTGCCTTCTTGGCACCAAGGGCACACTGCTGGCTCCTGTCCAGCTTCGTGTCCCCTGTCCCCCCAGGGCCTTTTCTGCAGAGCTGCTGCCCGGCCCGTCGCCCCCAGCCTGCACTGGTGCATGAGATTGCTCCCTCCTCAGTGCAGGACTTTGCACATGTCCTTGTTGAACCTCCTGAGATATCTCTTGGTCCAATCCTCCAGTGTGTCAAGGTCTGAATCCTAGCCCTACCCTCCAGTGGAGGACTTAACACCACCTAGCCTGCAGATGGTTTCTTGTTTTGCATTTTCCCATTCAAATGGGGATTTTAAAGTATTCCACCTGAGCTCAGCGATGGAGCTGAGCTGCATCTGGAGCAGGGATGGATGCTGGCTGTGTCTGGAGCGAGGATCCTCCTTGGTCCAGGATGCAAGGGGATGGATGCTGGCTGTGTCTGGAGCGAGGATCCTCCTTGCTCCAGGATGCAGGGCCAGGGAACATGTGTCCTGGAGGTCAGTGCATTCCTGGCTGTTCAACAGCCTGGACAAGGAGGAGCAGAATTGCACTTTGACACCGACGTCCACTTACAGGAGTGATGGCTGGGATCAGAGCTGGCCTGGGCACCAGCCATGATGGACTCTCCATCCTTGGAGGTTTTGAAGACCTGGGTAGACAAAACCCTGGCTGGGATGATGTAGTTGGGGCCGGTCCTGCTTGCAGCAGGGGGTTAGATAAGATGTGACCTCCTGAGGTCCCTTCCAACCTCATTTTCTATGACTCCAAGGTTTGCTGCAATCTTGCTGTGTTACGTGCATTCGCACTGTTGAAATTTGGGGTCAGGAAGGAACTCTGCGCCATGCTCAGACCTGCAGGACGTTGGCGGCCGCAGTCCCCCTGCTTTCCCTGGGGCAGGGGCAGGTGCGGGGTCAGGGGCGGCTGTGTTGTGTTGCTCAGAGGTCAGACATGGGGTTTGTCTGGGCTGGTTTGGACGGGGCTGATCCTTCTCTAGGATTGCTATGAAATGTCGCGTGTCCCTACTTCCCTCCTTCACCTGGGCACAGGGAATGCAGGGTTCGGTGCCAGGCCTGGCTGCAGCAGGACAAGGCGAGAGGGGTCTTCAGCATCCTTGAATAGTCTCGGTCCTTGGGAGGAGAGGCCGGGAGGCATCAGAGGGAGAAGGAGATGAGCATACCCGGGGAAGAGGAGGGTGAGGTCTGCAGTGTTGGAGCCCCGAGACCAGACAGGCTGGACAGGGCGCTGGGCTGTGCGAGCTGGAACGGCTTCGCCGCTCTGGCTGGGTGGCTTGTGCCCCAGGAAACCCTGCACTGCTTGGGACTTCAAGCTGTGCTGGGTCTCCCCGGCAGGAGGAACTGGGTGCAGCTCCTTGAGTCGGGGCCACGGGGAACCGGGGCAGGTCGGGATCTTGGTGTGGGAAGAAGCCAGTATTCACCCACCCTGAGCTGGCTTTAGGGGGTCCTGTCAGAGACCAGCCGAGGCCATGGCGGTCCTAGCAAACACCCCCGGGCAGACTCCAGGTGCAGACACACGCGTGCGATCCTGGGGGAAGCCCCACATGCCAGCCTGGAGGGTCCGGAGCGGCCCGGGCACCCCGGCGGGGCCTGGTTTTGCGTGTGCTCGGCTCTGAAGCCTGGTCCCCAAGCCCGGCTGGAGCCTCCCGGCCGGACCCCCAGCCCTGCCTTCCTCCACTGCGCAGCCTGACGCTCTGCTCTGCTCTCTCTTGCAGGGGTGGCGATCAGCACGTATGCCAAGTACTGCTACAACAAGCTCCAGAAAGCAGCCTTGACGGGCGCCAAGAAGGTATCGTCCCATTTCTCTGCCGTCAGCTCCGCGCCAGGTGCTGTCAGCGAGCGTCTGGCCGGAGCGGGTCCTGGGTGGGAGTGGGGCAGTCTCCCCCGGCCTCCCCAGGGCTGAGGGCCCGGGGCACGTCACATCGGGGGGATGAAGGAGGCAGAGCGCTGCTGGTACGTGCTGGGGGGCCTTTGGCTGGGACAAACGGGCTGTGGCCGGCATGGTAGCATTGTACAGCCCCTAGCACAGCCCCGCTCCCCGCGCTCGGTGACACGTGTGGCGCCTGGGAGCCTGGAGCCGTCACAGCGGCACGGAGGGACTGGCAGAAGCGGGACCCTTCTCCGGCTCCCGCGTCAGGAGCCCAGCCTCGCCGGCTCTGCCCCGGGGGAACTGAGGCACGGGTGGAGGGGGGCGGAGAGTGACTTGCCCAAGGCCACCAGCTAGCCCCCCAGACCCAGCCGGGTGTCCAGCCCCGCATCTCTCCCCAGCGCTCCCTCGGGTGCCCTGCGGGGCTGTGGCGTCCATCACCGGCTGCACAATGTGGGGGAGAGGCCGTCCCCTCCCCATCAGAGCCAAGGCACCAGAGCAAGTCAGCAAGGGCAGGATCTGGCCCTCCCTGCCCAGGGCGCCCAGGCTACACCCCCAGCCCCACGCCAGGGTAGCCAGGGGCTCGGGCGGCTTCCGCTCTGCGCCAACCAGGCCAGGCCGGAGGCCCGGAGACGTCTTCAGGAGCTGGGCAAGGCTCTCCCCTGCAACGCTGCTGGAGGCAGGCGGCTGAGAAAGCCTGGAGCAAGCTGCAAAAAGCAGGGCAGCTTCCAGGGGCAGGGGACTCCAGCGTCTCTGGCAGGCGAGAGATGGAAAATCCCCCTTCCTGGATCTGGAGGAGATGAGCCCCTCGGCTCCTCTGACCGCCGGCGGGAGACGTGATACAAGAGCTGGAGCTGGAGAACGGAGAAGGGGGAAACCGCGAAGGGCCCCCAGGACAGACTGGCGGGGACCCGGCTTCCCGAGGCAGCTCAGTCGCCCTGCTCCAGCGCCTGGGCCTGGGTGAGCTAACGCAAGTGCTCCCCTGAGGTCACCCCCCACCATCGGGTATGTTCCCAGTCCTTCCAGCCACCTCCTGGATGCCTTGCAAAGGGTCAGCACCTGCCTCCGATCCAGACCTCAGCACGGCTCAGGCTGTTCCCGATCCAGAGTCCAGCCTCCCTCGCACGCATCCCGGATACAGCCCAGAACGGCACAGACCCTTTCGAGTGCGGGGGCAAGGGATGGATCACCCACCGCAGCCCCAGTTGCCCTCAGCATCACGGCGGAGCAGCCCGCAGCATCCGCCAGCACTTTCCTCGGACCAGGACTTTGCATTCAGCGTATGGAAGAGCTCGCTGGGAGTCCGGCTGCCATCGCCCCGGGCCATGGAGGGCCGCACGTCCCTGGCAGCTGCTGGCTGCAAGTCACAGGGTCCTATGAACTGGGGCGGCTAGGACTGGAGCGTGCAATACCCACAAGCTGCCAAGAGCCAGGGAGCAGACCTCGTTGCCAGAGGCATGGCAGTGCCCCACACCCTGCCTAGCCCCCTCCACAGGGCTCCCAGTGCCAGGATGGGTGATGGAGCATGGGTCCAGCTGCTTCTTGGGCTGCCCTCCCCATGCCACAAGGCTGCGGGCCAAACAGAGCCCCCTCTGCGAACTAAGACAGCACTTGGTGCCCCTGCTGCTCCAGCTCTCCGTGCCGACAGCTCCTCTCGATTAGCAGGCACCCGTCAGCATCAGCCCGGCCCATTGCACCATTGCTGGGAATGAGCATCACATGGACCAAGAGGTGAGGACGGAAGGGCTGGATCTCAGCTATTCCCCACCGTGACCACGAGTGGGACTGGGGTCAGAGGTGCTGAGGCCCCGCTGGACACCCACCTGTGCACCCACCGGTCGCCTTCCAGAAACAAGGGGCAGGCGCGGGAGCCAGAGCCCTGCCCCGCGCCCCACCGAGAGGCACACTGCGATGAGCCAGGCGGTCGCTGGCCTGCTCCCTACCCCCCATATTTCTGGGCTCTCCCCATGCAGCCGTGAGGGCCACCAGCTTCCTCTGGTGCAAGCGGGAATCTCTGCAAATCCCACGACTCCAGGAGCTGGAGCTTTATGGCCAGCCCCGAGCACCGCCAGCTACAGGGTAACCGCGAGGGAGCGAACGGGGGCGTTCCTGACGTCTGCCGACACCATGTCAAAAGAAAGGCAGCGAGCCGCCTGCCCGTCTCCATCCTTTCTGTTGTCGCCCCTTGGGGATTTGAAAACTGTGGGGTCACATCCAGCCCAACCCCTGCCTAAGGCAGGATCAGCCCTGTCCAAACCCCACAGACAAGCCCGTGTCCGACCTCGGATCCACACGATGCAGCCCCCCTGACACAGACCCAGGCATCACCCCCAGCCCTTACCCCTGGGATACAGGGGGGCCGCGGCCACCACCATCCTGCTGCAGAGAGCCCAGGCCCAGGCCATGCCCCTGCTGCAGAGCAAGGGGAAACCCCCCAGTCCGCACCAGTCTGAGCAGGGGGGAAATCCCTTCCTGCCCCAGTGCAGCATTGAGCCTGAGCGCAGGGACAGAGCCCCCCAGCCAGGACCCTCCAATCCCCCCCCAACCTCCTCTTCTCCAGACTAAATACCCCGGCTCTTCCAGCCCCATCAGTCGTGTCTCCCAGGCCCCGACCCTTTTTGTCTCCCTGCTCTGGACTCTTTGCAATCTCTCCACGTCCTCGAAGCGCGGGGCCCAGCCCTGGACACAGGACTTCAGGGGAGGCCTCCCCAGGGCTGGATAGAGCCGGAGATTTGGCTCGTTAGCCGGGGGCACATTGGGAAGCGGGGCCTGGCCCCAGGGTGGAGGACAGGTGCAGAGCCCGGGGGTTTGGCCAGCCCGAGACCCAGCTCCCAGATACCGGCAGCCTCGGCCCAGCACCAGCAGGACAGTCGTGCCTGCTGTCCGCCCTGCCAGGGCAAGGGGTTTTGCTGGGGACACAGAGCTGGAGGGGCCCTCCCCTTGCCGGGCTAGAGCCAGGCAGTGATTATTTGTCATCCCATACGCCGGCGTGCACCGCAGTGTGCTGAGAACTGCCATGTTCCACCCCAGAGGTGGCCGCATTTCAGGGCTGGGTGAAGCTTGTGTGGGGGCAGCAGAGGAGACAACCCCTTTAGAGAGGGAAAATGACACCTACCAAAGTGGCCTGTAGACGGGGTCCACTGGACAGGATCAGAGCCTGTGTGTCATGAGCCCCCTACTGCAGCCGGTGATTCACCTCCAGTGCAGGCAGGAGATGCTCTCATGAGTATTGGGGGCATATTGCCTCCCCCCCCGGTCACAGAGGAGGCATGTGAGGCCTGGCACAGGTGGGCTGTGACTTGCTACGGACCCAAGGCTTTGCAGGAGGCTTCGTGGGCAGTGCAGGGTCAGGCCACGCATGTGCTCAGTTCAGGAGCACCCGTGACCAGCGCGGAGCCTTGTGCCATGCATGATGTGTCCCCGCGCCCGTCCCCACCGAGCACTCCTTGTCCGTGGGGAGCTGCGCGTGCCCCTCTCCGCTCGCCTGTGCCGTGACGCCGGCGCTGTCTCCGGCAGGGCCTGAAGAAGCCGAACATCGAGGAAATCCGGCACGCCAAGAACGCCGTGTTCAACCCCTCCATGTTCGGGAGCTCCCTGCAGGAGATCGTCAACATGCAGAAAGAGCGGTACCCCGACCGCCAGCTGCCCTGGGTGCAGACCCGGCTGTCCGAGGAGGTGCTGGCACTCAACGGAGACCAGACCGAGGGCATCTTCAGGTAGGGCAGCCTGGGCGCCTGGCCTGGGGGCGCTGGGGAGACCGGCTCTGTCCGTGGCTGCAGGGCACCGAGCTGCAGCAAGGGAGATCCAGCTCGGCTCTTGGGAAGCCTTTCCTCCCCGCAAGGCTGGCTCAGCCCTGGAGCGGAGGAGGAGGCCTCCTGTTCCTGTCTCGGCTGGGCTGGTTGTGGGGCTGGGGCAAGAGACCTGGTGCCTCCCTGCCCCGTCTCACGCCGGCGGGGTCCTGTCCCTCTCCCGCGCAGGGTCCCCGGAGACATCGATGAGGTCAACGCCCTCAAGCTGCAGGTCGACCAGTGGAAGATCCCCACCGGCTTGGAAGACCCCCACGTCCCTGGTAAGGGAGAGTGCCCCTAATCCCCCCCCCTGCAGCCTGTGAGCAGGGCTGGGGGGAGCCTGGCCCTCAATGGGCTCTTGTGGCCACACCGGCCACTGCCGGCCACCACCAGCTGGGTGGAGCCGTCCCAGGGCCTGTGTCTCCTCCACTGTGGCAGGGACACCAGTGCCCAGTGCTTGTTTCCTAGCCCCGCAACCCTGCTGCCCAGCACCCCCTGGCCCTGCCAGAGCTAGTGCCAGCCTGCAGCCCCAGGTGAGGGGCTCCCGCCGCTGCAGCCAGGGGCAGGAGCCGGTTTTGGCCAAGCGAGCCCTGCTGTGCATGGGGCCGGGCCTGGTTGGAGGAGCCCGAGCCAGGGAGCCTGCAGGGAGCAGGTCCCTTGTCCAGCCGGAGCGGGGGCAGGAGGGCCTGGGTCCCGGGGGCTTGCTGGGATCAGCCCAAGCCCAGGCAGGGGGTGCCAGGGCCCAGGAAGGACACGGTCAGCACATGGGGGCTTGGCAGGTTCAGTCCCTTGTCAGCCGTGCTGGGAACCACAGACACGAGCAGCCCATTGTGTGTGCACGTGTGCATGCATTCATGTGTGTACACGTGTGTGCATATGCACATCCATGTTTGTGTGCATGTGCATATGCGCATGTTTATGTGTGTGTATGTGCATTCGTGGGTATGTGGAGGTGTTTGTGTGTGCATGCATTCATGTGTGCACACGTATGATTGTGCATATGTGTGTTCATGTGTGTGCATGTGTTTGTGCATGTGTGTGTGTACGTGTGCATATGGGCATTTGTGTATATAAGCTTGTGTGTGCATGCATTCATGTGTGCACATGTGCATTTGCAGGTGCGTGCGTGTGTTTGGGTGTGTGCTTGTGTATGTGCATCCATGTGTGCACACACTTCTACATATGTGTATCTGGGTGTACGTGCATGTGTGTGCATTCGTGTGCATGCATGTGTGCACATGCTCGCGTGTGTGCATGTTTGTGCGCGCACGTGTGCATTTGCCTACACGCGTGTGCCCCTGTGTGCATGCGCGTCCCTCTCGTGGCTCCCCTCCGAGCCCTGGTCCAGCACGTAGCAGCGGCAGGACGCAGGAGCTCCCGTTCGCGGCCTGCCCACCCACGAGCCCCTCTGCCCGCTCTCCACAGCCTCGCTGCTGAAGCTGTGGTACCGGGAGCTGGAGGAGCCGCTGATCCCCCACGACTTCTACGAACAGTGCATCACCCACTACGAGAACCCCGAGGCCGCCATCGCCGTCGTCCACTCCCTGCCCCGCATCAACAAGATGGTGCTCTGCTACCTCATCCGCTTCCTACAGGTGGGGTCCGCGGCTCCGGAGAGGGGGCGGCGGGTCTGGGAGCTCCCTAGCCAGCCCAGGCAGGTGGGCACGGAGGTGCGGGGGGCACCACCAAGCCACCATAGAGGAGAGGCCTCTTCAGGGCCAGGGGGAAGTTGGAGGGGTCCAGAGGCAGGCGACCGACCGCAGCGCCGGCCGTGTCCAGCCTGGAGAACAGGCCGCCAGGGCTGCCGTCGGGAGAGCTGCTCCCCGTCGCTGCAGAGGCACAAAGCCATGACTTTAGACCTCAGCAGAGCAGGCTCAGGTTGGGTCTCCGGACAAACGTCCAGGGCAAGGACGAGGGCTGGGGGGCCGGCCCGAGGGTCTGAGCTGCCCTGGGGAGACCACACTCACCCCTGCCCGCCCCTCCGGCAGGTGTTCGTGCAGCCGGCCAACGTGGCGGTGACCAAGATGGACGTCAACAACCTGGCCATGGTGATGGCCCCCAACTGCCTGCGCTGCCAGTCCGACGACCCGCGCGTCATCTTTGAGAACACCCGCAAGGAGATGTCCTTCCTCCGCGTGCTCATCCAGCACCTGGACACCAGCTTCATGGAGGGCGTCCTATAGCAGCGAGCAGGGGCACCCCCAGCTGCGCCCCGGCCCTGCCCAGGGAAGGTGACTCTCGGGGAGGTGCCGGGCACGGCTGCCCGTCCCCAGCACGGTGCCCCCCCAGTGCCCCCTGACCTCTTGTGCCGGCGGGGGGTGCTGCCCAGTGCCTCTGCTCTGCCCAATGCCTCCTCCTCCCAGCCGGACCCCTGCCCACGGCACTGCCCGTCTCCCCATCCGGCTGCTCAGACTCCCGCCCGGGCTCCTGGAGGCTGGGGCTCACCACCGCGCTCTGGTCAGCTCCTAGGAGCCCTGTGCCTTGGGGACCCACCTCCAGCAGAGCCCACACAGGAGGGGGGAAGGGGGCCCAGCTGCCCAGGGTGCCTGCCTGGGACCCAGTTCTGGCCATGGTGTAGGGCAGGGGGGTGTTTGGAGCCTACAGCTGGGACGGGGCTGGGCCACAGGCTGCTGTCCTGCAGGGCTGTCCCTGCCTGAGCTCCAGGGACAGGAGGGAAGGAGGACGGGCAGGGCTTGCAGGGGGCTGTGCCTGCCCCGGTGCACCTGGCCGCATCCCCCTGAGATCGGGGCCAGAGCAGCAGCATCCAGGCTCCAGGTTCTTCCTTCCATCAAAGCTGGGGGCTCAGGTCCCATCCCCTGCTCGGCCCATGCCTCAGCCCTGGGCATCCTCCAGCACTGCCTTCCATGATGACTCCCCACTGCTTGTGAGCCCGCCGCTTTCTCCTGCCATCGCCACAGGCCTCAGCTCAGCCCTGCAGTAAAGAGAGCGGTGCCCATGGGACAGGAGCCGGAGAACCGTGCCCATCGCCCAGCCCCTGCTCCATGCCAGGCTGGGATGCTGCAGCTTCGTCCAGGAGACGTGTCCCCTCAGCCTGGCCCTGCCCATGGATGGGGGCTCCCAGCCACAGCTGCAGCCCCGGAGACGCAGAGGGACCACCCGGAGCGACGCAGACTGGACTCCAGGCTCTTCGCAGAGCAGCTGGATGTGCCGCTGCAGCGTGGGATTCGCCCAGTCCCGCTCTGCCCTCCTGCCCCACCACGGCTGGGCCCCTCCTGGGCTCCCCCAGCTCCCGGCTCATGCCCCAGCAAGAGAGAGTCAACCCCTTGGAAGAGTCTACCCCACATCCTGGGTGCCTTCACCACCGCTATTGCACCTCCCTCTCCAACGTCCCTCCCCAGGGCAGGCTGCAGGGAGCCTCCCTGGCTCCAGCTGCTCCAGAAGATGCCAGCCTGGGCAGCAGTGGGATCCCTGCGAGCTCTCCACCCGCCAGGCTGCCTTCCCTGGAGGTCGGTACCATCCAGCTGGTCCCCAGCCTTCCTGACCCAGGTCAGCAGCCACGCAGGGAGCCGGCTCTTCTGCATCATGACGGGGTCAGACCAGCTGCTGGAGACTGCGAGCCAGCAGGGCCAGGGGCCGGAGACCAGCTCGCCTAGTGGTGCTCAACCTTTTACACAAGCAAGGCAAAGCTTGAACTCAGCCAGCTTGCGGCCCCCCAGCCCATTCTATCCGGCCCACGGGGCCCCTAAACAATTTAGAAAATTAATATTTATCTGCCCCGACCGCCTGTCACGCGGCCCCCGATGGCTTCCCAACACTCAGTAAGCGGCCCTCCGCCCCAAATCATTGCCCGCCCCGATCTAAACCCTTCGTCAAACTACCGTCACCCTGACACAGCCCCAGGCATCCCACCTGAACCTGCCACAGGGGACGTTGGGGGGCTGCGGCAGCCAACGCCTTGCTTCTGTAAACGGGTGTTTATCTACGGGCCAGGGAGCCGAGGCAGAGGCCGTTCCCCCACTGCAGGGGAAGGGGAACCCCCCCAGTGCAGACCAGTCTGAGCGGGAGGAAATCCCTTGCTGCCCAGTGCAGCGGGGCTGAGCCTGAGCGCGGGGGCAAGACCCTCCAGCCAGGACCCTCCGGGGTTGGGTCCGGGAGGAGCATTGGCCCAGCCCAGCCCCATCCCCAGCCTGGGCTGCAGCACCCAGCGCCTCGGGGGGAAGCTTAAAGCCCCTGTTGCATGTAGTGGTGGGGGGCAACCAGCACAGCCCAGAAACCTGGGAAATCCCCATAGCAGAGCATGGGCATCGCTGCGCCTAGATCCTCCGCACCCAATGCCCATTCACCCTCTCCTTGACACCTCCAGGGATGGAGCGTCCCCCCTTCCCTGGCGTCTCTCCCACGGCCCCTGCTCTGACAGTGAAGAAGTGTTTCCTTATCTCCAACCTGAACCTGCTTTGCTGCAACTTCCAGCCATGGCTCCACGTCCTCCTCTCTGCAGCAGGAGAGAACAGGCGCTGCCCCTCGTCTCTCTGGCAGCCCCTCAGCTACTTGCAGCCTGCTGTCGTGTCCCCTCTTAAGCACCCACGACTTCACATGCGCAGAAGGGACCGTCACTCAAGAACTGGGCTGTACGGCCACGTGCACCGACATTCAGCAAGACGCCCGGTGCAAATCTATTGTCTGGTGAGACAGGCAGGTGCCTAGAGAGAGAACCGTGTGGCACGATCAGCATCCCGTAGCCATGTTTTAAATTGGATCGAAGTAACGAAACGTTAGAAGCTTTACCTGCAAAAATGCAAAGACCGACCATGGGATGATACGAGGCCAGGAAAGACCGACCGGTGGAGATGGCCCGGGCAGCCACACTGCTCCTTAGCTCAGCTCCCAGCCCCGTGCCAGTGTCTCCTGGACGCGGAGCATGACCTTTGGGCTTGCTCTGAAATAGCTTTGTGCCCTGTGGGTGTCTGTGGGGCTGCCAAGGGCAGGTCGCCACTGCCGTTCCCCTTCCAGCTATTCGAGGAGCTGGGCAGGGAGCATTCAGTCTCAGGGCGAGGAGGAGAGGAGAGCGGCAGCATGCTGGCACGTGTGATTCCTGGTGCTCCCCTTTCCCCCATCACTCCAGCTTTGCAGGTCGCATCTGGCCCCCAGGCCGGGTGTGAGCACCACTGGTCTCGTGCTCTGGCAGGGGAAGTGCCTTCACCCCCCCGGAGCAAGCACTCACGTCGGGAAGGAGCCTGGTTTGCTGGTGTGATGAGCTCGCGGGAAGCACCATGGGGACCCCGAGGAGCGGTGGTGGCCCCAGCTTCTGCCCCCGGAGCCTTCCTGGAGCGGAGTGAGAGTTCACGGTGCCGTGGGTCAGGCTCCCCGGGGCAGACGGACTAACCCCAGCAGTCCTGCATTGCTTGGGCACCTGCCGTTGGCTTGGATCGCTCCTCTCCCCGCTGCAGCATAGGAAAGGCACAGGCAGCCCCAAGGAAGCCTTGCCTGGCTGGCACTGCCGGGTCAGGCCTTGTTCCCGGGCTCACACAGGAGGCACACGTCCCATCAGCGCCTGGGCAGGATCCTCGGGGGGCAGCCGTGTGGAGGAGGGCACCAGCGACTCCGGCGTGTGGGGCCTCGGCGCGTCTCAAGATCCATCCAGACAGCAGCCAGATCCCAGCTCCTCCCTGGACTCGCCTGGGAGCATCTCAGCCGCCAGCCCAGACTGCATCACCACAGCACCCATCCAAAGCATGGACCAGGGGCACCCTGGCTCTTTCAGGCCCTGGGCAGGATGTGACCCATGGAGGATGGAGGGCGAGCACTGGAAATCCTCCAGACAGGGCTCGGCGTTGCAGAGACACGGCCCCTCCTGCCA